GTCGAGGGTAATAAAGAGAGCAGCAGAAGAAATTGCACAAGCATGGGACGATGGAATCCATGACGGCCCGTCGTGAGGTCCGTCGACCCAACCGTGTTTTGACAGATTTCCAGCAAATAGAGTCCTTATTTAGTTAGTTTTTTATTTTTTTAAGAATAGTTCAAAAAACCTCATTTTTGGGGTTAGACTCTTTGGTAGTTAGATTTTCATATAGTTAGACTCTTGGTTATTTGAGCTTCTTTTGTGGATTAGACTTGGTGATTATTGTTACACTTTTGGAGAATCTTTAGTCTTCAATTAATTTCAGTAATTGATTGTTGGTGACTTTTATCGATTAATCATGTGAAATTTTGGATTTTATTCTTTCTCATTGAAGTAAGTGCATGAATTCTTATATTACATATTTGAATATTGTGATTATGACTATGGGTAACTAAACTCTATAACTAGGGTTATGGGAACCATAGGTGAAAACCTAACTAAAATAACAATTCTGGAATAGTGTCTTGCATGTATTGATAATTTTTTCGCTTAAAAGTCTTTTTAACGGATGGCCAACGTTAGAACTCGCCTTAATGCTACTTGCCGGACCAAGGAGGTAGACAATAGAAAAAGAATTATCAACATAGATTTAGTGTATACTATCTAATAGGCTAGTATTGATTGGTACTAAGTAATAACTTAGTCAAATATCGAATATGATGCTTAATATGAGGTAAATGTAAGGGTTAGTATAGCAACACACGTTGCCGGACCAAGGTGCGGAGTGAAATTTTCTAGATGCCGGATTAAGAATTTAGAAATACATAACTTATCACTTTGCATGAAAGATACTAGGAAAAAATTATTATAGTTAGAATTATCAAGTTATGAACCTGTGAGGAAAACGTAAACCCTAGTTACTTTTATTAATTGATTAAACTCCATCATTTGAAGCTGTTAGTGTCTCCTTTAATTTAGCTAGTTATTTTAATTCATTTAGAAGTAAAAAACTCCCCTTTTTATTGTCTTTGCTTTCCAAGAAAAACAATTGACTAAATAGTAGTAATAACAGATTTAAGTTAAGTCTGAACTATTTTCCTCGTGGGAACGATCCCAACCTCATTAGTTGGATTTTTTACTTGATACGACCGCTTTACTTCTCATTTGATAAGTAAGTTTGAGCGTATCAATATACTTGTCCAATCTGTATTCCATCATATAGAATGGCACCAGCTAAGTTCAAAGAGTTGAAAGATCTGTTTGATAAGGGTTTCATTTGATCAAAGTGTCTCAACTTGAGGCGTTCTGGTCTTGTTTGTGAGAATTAAGGATGGTTCTCTTAGGATGTGTATAGATTATCGTCAATTGAACAAGGTTACCATCAAGAATAAGTATCCTCTTCCAAGGATAGATGATCTTTTCGATCAGCTTGAGCGTGTTCCTTATTTTCCAATATTGGCCTTAGATCAGGCTACCACCAGTTGAAAGTTAGGGAATGTGATATTCCAAAGACAACTTTAGAACTAGATATGAGCATTATGAGTTTTTGGTCATGTCATTTGGGTTGAACAATGCGCCTGCAATATTCATGGATCTTATGAATTGAGTCTTCAAATCTTATTTAGATATGTTTTTTATCATCTTCATGTTGACATACTAATCTATTCAAGGAATGAAGAGGATCATGCTAGTCATCTCAGAACAGTCCTTCAGACTTTGAAAGATAAGGAATTATATATTAAGTTCTCAAAATGTGAGTTTTGGCTTATTAAGTATGTGGCATTTTTGGGCCACATTGTTTCCAATGATGGGACTAGAGTTGATACCCAAAAGATAGAAGCAATTCAGAGTTTGCTTAAACCCACATCTCCAACTGATATAAAGAGTTTCTTGAGTTTGGTTGGCTACTATAGAAGGTTTGTTGAGGGACTTTCATCTATTTCGTCTCCTTTGACCAAGTTGACTCAGAATATAGTTAAGTTTCAATGGCCTGAAGCTTGTGATAAAAGCTTTCACGATTTGAAGAAGAGGTTGACCACGACCCCAGTCTTGACCTTACCAGAAGCTACTCAAGGTTTTGTGGTGTATTGTGATGCATCTGGAGTTCGTTTACGCTGCTTGTTAATACAGAATGGCAAGGTTATAGCTTATGCCTCCACACAGTTGAAAGTTCATGAGAAGAATTATCCAACCCATGACTTAGAGTTGACTGTTGTAGTATTCGCCTTGAAGATATAGTGTCACTATATGTATTGTGTTCATGTGGATGTCTTCATTGATCACAAGAGCTTACAATATGTGTTCACTCAGAATAAGATTAATCTCAGACAAAGAAGGTGGTTAGAGTATCTCAAAGATTATGACATGAGCATATTTTACCTCCCAAGTAAGGCTAATATTGTTGCTCAAGCCTTAAGCGGGTTTTCTATGGGTAGTACCACCCATATTAAGAAAGAGAAGAAGGAACTAGCAAAAGAAGTGCATAGACTTGCACGCTTAGGAGTCTGACTCATGGATTCCACATAAGGATGAATAGTGGGACCTTCCTCAATCCAACAACCTAACTTCTGGAAGGCATATCTCCCTTATATGATATCAAAAATTCGCAAACTCAGTGGCATTAGGAAGATATTTCCAAGGGATTTCCAATCATATAAAGAACTGACTCTAACTGATCCTGAGCTAAAAGCTATGGACATTTCAAAATGACCAAAAACCCACTTTTTACACTTAGGAAATTTTTCCAGATTTTTCCTATTATTTCCAAAAATGATAAATTTTAGTTTCTTATCTTATTCTTGGCTATTACAAGTTACGAGAAGTTACAAATAAAATGGCTCTGCACATTCTCACAAGTTAGAACTACATAACTTGTTAATTCTTTTTATTACATTTTGAGGAACTATGGTTCAAATAAGAAGAATTACAAGATCACATCTGAGACGCGCGATAAAGTACTTTGCAACACTCACAATGAAAAAGTCTTACCTGAAATCATTTGTTAAGTTCTCAATTGTACATCACTGTACATGAAGTCTAGCACAGTTTATTTCATTGAAGAAATTTTGCGAACACCAAGAGAGCATAGCTCTTGACATATTAAATTGTGTGTTCCAAAGCACATAGCAAAAGAACTAATTCAACCATTATATAAAGATTAAAAGATTGGAAAATATTAAAATGAAGAAGCAAACCGAGTAAATATAAGGAAAATCAAAGTCGAAGAAATTTTTTGAATTCAACAAGTCAACCAAATTAATATTAACTTTAAAAGGAAGGTAACAATTCAACAGGAAAAATTTCCGATTGAAAGGAAAATCCAGAAAACAATGAATGGGAAAAGGAAACACATGAAATAAAAGATGCAGAGAAAGCATGCATATTTTTTTGTTTGTAGGAGCGAATCTTTGAGGAATTAGAATTAAACATTTGCCCTCCGAATTTGAGCACAAAATGAATATGTTGTTTTCTATGGAACATAAAAGAAAGTTTTCATAATAATAAATGTGGAAGATGAAAGATGCAACACGTGGATTATTTTTCATTAATAGGTAAGCATGTCGTAAAGAAAGAAGGAAGAGAAAGGGGAAAACTACCGACTTACTCGTTTGACTTTCCGAAGAAAATATATCTTATATAGAATGATAGAGATATAGATAGATTCTATTTTTTTATTTTGAGACGTGTCTATTTAGCATCTCTTATTATGCTCCTTCAATTTCTATTTAATTGTCATCGTTTTTTATTTCACACCCTTTAAGAAACTTGTTAAGTTCACTAATGTACCCTATTTTAGTGTTATCTTGAAGTCAAGTTTTCAACAAAATAACATAAATTAATATATTTTGATTAATTAAATTGACAAATGAATATGAATCAAGTCAAATTCATATTTTCAAGGATAATAACTTTCAAAGGTAAAATATGAAGAATTTTGTCATTTGTGTACTCCATCAGTTCCTTTTTAGTTGTCATGTTAAATTTTTCAAAAGTAAATTTGAATAAATTTTAAAGTTAGGTCACATTTATTCAATATTTTAAAATAAAAATTCAGATATTCAAAATCATAAGAAAAATACTATAAATTGCAATTTTTTTATTAATGATGAAAAATACAACTTAAAATGTTAGTTAGAATTTATATCATTTAACTACAAAAAAACCTACGACAACTAAAGTTGTCAATATGGACTGACCCACTCCATCAGGGATAACTAACAGAGGCTATGAAATTTGACTGACCAGGTCGGGTCAAACTATTTTTGGTGTGGGCTAGAAAATGATCGACTCAGCCCACAGGTACATGAGTTACGGGTTTTGTCGGGTCAATCCTTTTTTCTAAAAAGTATATTTTTATAATTTTTAAGTCAAAATAATAATTTAAAAATATTATCATAAATATCAACAAAACAACATTACATAGTGTTAGTGTTACTACTTTTGAATCAAATCCATAAATAAAATTATCTTTATAATATTTGTTAAGTTTGTTTTAAATTAAAAGCATAAATAGATGATAATATTTCATAGGCTAGCCTATGTAGTGATTCCCTAGAAATTTTTAAGAATTTTTTATTTTTTGTAGTCCATATTTTATAAACATTATTTGTATTTGAATTGTAATATTTTTCCAACTTTAAATAGATTTTGAGTTTACACTCTTGTTATTTTTAATATTATTTTTTATTTTTAGTTTTAATTAATTTTTGTTTAGCTCGCAGGCCCGCCCTATTCATATTTCTCAAGTCTCACAAATCGCCAGATTTATTCAGGTCAAGCTAAAAAACTATTTCTTAAATTGGCCTAAAATAGCTCAACCGTATCAAATTACGAGTTAGGACAAACCTGCCCAACAAGCGTAGCCCATATTGATAGCCCTAACGACAACTAAAATAAAGGAAATAAATATAAATTTTATTAAATAAAAAATATTAAGAAATATTGACATATAAAAGTTGAATTTATTCAGATTGGGCTCCCCTCCAGTGGACAATACATCCAGTTCCTCCAGTTGGGGGTATATTTCTACACATGCTCTTCATTTTACTAGATGGTTCAGATTTGTTTACCCAAACAAACCATTTTAACTATGTTCAATAATTACATATTACATCTCCATTACAATCCACTTTCCTTTACTAGAATAATTCAATATTAGAAAAGGGAAGAAGAACAATTCAAGTTATAAACTTTTGGAAAATTAAGTGAAGAAAAACTCAAAAATAATATCCCATCGAATCTTCACTATTTTTTACTTTAATAGAAAGGAAAAGAGAACAAGTTTGATCACCAGTGTAATTTTAAGTTATGAGTTTTTTAACCATTTTTTTAACCATTGATCAATCTCAACTAAAGTATAATCTTTTACATTTTTCATCTTCCAATTCTATCTTCCTCTTCATATATGAAAATTTAATACACCATCGTAATTTCCAATAAGATTCAACTCGTGCTTCTGGCTACATGAGTAAGAAGTAATATTTTTAGCTTCGTATAGACTAGAGAATTCTCCTGGATTTCAATTAATGTGATAAAGAAATATCAACTTCCATTTTTTCGTACTTATTAGCCTATCATGTGTACAATTTCAACATGTTTTTTTCCAGATACTTCAAATCTTCACCTGATATACCGTTGAAGGTACCCGCTAGTTTCTATTTGAGTTTTAACTTGACGAAAAAATTTTGGTGTGCAATTTTGTAGATCTGAAAGGGAAGGGAGGAGGTTGGGAATTTGTGGAAAGGAAAGGATGATAAGGTTTGACTGTGGTTAAATGGTTAGTTTTAGCAAATAATTTGAACTGTTTATTAATTTGGGGGAAATTTAATACCAAGTGGAGGAACTAGACAGATGGACCACTGGAGGGGAGCCGAGTCCCACAATGGGAAATGCCCACCAAAATGCACAATAAATTGGATTTGACTCCCCTAAAGTGGCCCATTTGTCCACTTCTACGGTGGGGTTTAATTTTACAACATGTGTCCCTCAAATTAATAAATGATTCTGATTATTTCTAAAACTAACCATTTGACCACAATCAAACATTATCATCCTTCTCTCTCCACAAATTTCCAACATTCTCCTTTCCCTTTCAGATCTACAAAATTTCACACCAAAAACTTCCGTCAATTTAAAACTTAAATCAAAATTAGCAGGTACCTTCGATGGTACATGTGAAGATTTGAAATATCTGCAAAAAAAAATTGCTGAAGCTAATAAGGATGAAAAAAATGGAAGTTGATGGTTTTTTATCATGTCACCTGAAATTCAACAGAATTCTCTAGTCTATATAAAGCTAAAAATATTACTTCTTACTCATATAGCCTGCTATACAAGTTGAATCTTATCGGGAATTACGATGATGTATTAATTGGGTTGATATATTTTCATATATGTAGAGGAGGATAGAACTAGAAGATGAAAAATGAAAAGAATTATACTTTAATTGAGATTCATCAATGGTAAAAAAAAATGATAAGAAAAAACTCATACCTTAACATTTCTTTGGTTACCAAACTTGTTCTCTTTCCTTTCTTTTAAAGTCAAAAATAGTGAAAATTCGATGGGATAGTATTTTGCGTTTTTCTTCACTTGATTTTGCTAAAAGGTATAACTTGAGTTGTTCTTCTTCCCTTTTCTAATATTGAATTATTCCAACAGAGGAAAGTGAATTGTAATGTAGAAGTAATATGTAATTATTGACCATAATTAAAATGGTTGACTATTACTGAAAACCGATCCATTTTGCAACAAGCGTAGGCTAAATTCAACAAATACTTAAGATATGAAGAGGAATTATGGAGACACAATGCAGGTACTCATTGGTTATCAGAAGGAGAGAGGAACACTAGATTTTTTCACAACTTAGTAAATGGAAGAAGGAAGAGATTATATTTGCACAGAATAATAAAAGAATATGGCAATTGGACAGAAGGAGAAGAAAAATTGATAAATGAAGCTATTTCTTTCTATCAAAAATAGTTCACTGGAGGGGCTACTCTGATGAAATGTCACTAATGAACCATATTCCATGTATCGTAGATGCTGGAGACAATGATATGCTGAATGAATTATCTACAGTAGAAGAGATTAAAAGGTTAGTATTTGAATTAACTAGTGTAAGTGGACCTGATGGTCTTTCTGGTCTTTTCTACCAATCTTGTTGGGACATTGTGTGTACTGATATTGTAGATGTGGTTCATTCCTTCTTTCAAGGGCACACCATTCCTAAATTCATCACTCACACAAATTGATCTTATTATCTAAGAAAGAGGTGGTGCAGAGTTTTATAGATCTGAGGCCAATTAGCTTGAGTAATTTTTTGAATAAGGTCATATCCTGGTTGATATATGATAGGATCAAGGTGTGTTACCGAAACTATTCTCGCAAAATCAACCTGGCTTTGTGAAATGGAGGAGTATTATCAAGAATGTATTATTGGCTCGAAATCATACAGATGTTAGAAAGAGGGGGAAACCTACTGATGTGGTCAATAACGTAGACATGACCAAAGCATATAATAGCGTGGATTGATTCTTCTTGATAAAGGTTCTGGAAAAAATGGGTTTTAATGCATTCAAGATTGAAGAAATTTGGAGATTATTGGCTAACAACTAGTACTCTATTCTTATAAATGGTTAGGCGCATGATTTTTTTCACTCATCTAGAGGAGTGAAGCAAGGAAACTTTTTATCTCCTGCTCTATTTATTATATCTTTTGAGGTACTGTTAAGAACTTTGAACAATCTGTTGTTTGATAACAAGGATTTTAAGAGTTTTGGCATGCCTAAGTGGAGTGACAACATTAATCACCTTGCATATACAAATGATACCATAATATTTGTATCTGCAAACAATATATCTTTGGTATTGTTAATGGATATTTTGGAGACATATGAGAAAGAATCGGATCATAAAATAAATAAAGAAAAGAGCTTATATTACATGTTTAATAAAATTGTTTTGACTATTGTCAAGAAGTTGGGAGTTCCACTTGTTTTGAAAGAGGAAACTTTCCCCTAATTTATCTTGGATGCCCAATTGGTCATGCCAAGAGGAGGAAAATACATTTCTGTGATCTAGTTAAAAAAGTACAAAATAACCTCAAGGCTCGGAAAGATAAAATTTTATCCCTTGGAGGTAAAAATATGCTCATAACTATAGTCCTACAAAGCATCCCGATCTATCTGTTAGCTACAATTATTCCGTCGAAGTGTGTTACTCAAGACCTACACAGAATCTTTGCAAAATTCTTATGGTATTTTAATGAAAAAAAGAAGATATAAGCACTGGGTATCTTGGGATAGTATCCGTCTACTTAAAGAGGGAGGAGGGTTGTGTTTTAGATCACTATTTGATGTGTCAAAGGCTTTATTTGCAAAGCTTTGGTGGTCTTTTAGAACAAAGAAGTCTATGTGGGCTAATTTTGTATGGAGCAAATATTGCAAAAGACATAGACCACATGTTGTTGAATGGAATGGAGGGTCTCAAGTGTGGAAGTTCATGTTAGAAGCTAGAAATCAGGTTGATCAAGAGATTTTGTGGGAACCAAGATATGGTAATTCAAGTATCTGGTTTGACAACTGGACTAAACTTGGTGCTCTTCATTACTACTTACCTATTGGGGTCGATAACCATTATCATTTGGAGGAGGTGAAGTCTTTGATGACACAAGGGGTATGGAATAAGGAGTTGTTAGAGGTTTGGAATACATAACTCAGGAAGTCCAAGTGATGGACAGAATCACAGATTGGGATAAGTCCTGGTGGATGCAAAATGTTCAGGCAGATTCTACGGCAAAAGTGCTTGGGATCTAATAAGGCAGAGGCAAGAGGTGAATGATGATTTCAAAAATATATGGATCAAAGGGTTACCTTTCAAAGTTAGTTTTCTCTTTTGGAGGCTTTGTAAACAAAGACTATTGGTGGGGGAAATTCTACAAAATAGGCATGGTAGATAAAGTTCATTGTTGTTATGATTCTAATGTACAAGAGATTAGAGAGCATATATTCATATCATGTCCAGCAACTCAAATGCTATGGGTGGGTTATGAAAATGTCGTAGGCATTCAAGATCCATTTATACAGTTGCAACAAACAGTTAAGATATGGTGGGAGGCTAATTGTGCAAATAAATTGAAGTGTATTGTTAAAGTTGTTCCTGTTTTATTATTTGGGAGATTTGGAAAATAAGGAATTACATTTCTCGCGGAGGAAAAAGATCTTCAATACTATGCATTTGGAGGTAAATAAAAACTTAGTTCGATATGTTTCCTACTTATTTCCAAGGTTGAGAGAATTGCCTAGGGACTGGCCAAAGATAGTGCAATTGCTTAAAGGTTATACACCCATCTTAAAATGCAATATTGTTTATTGGGAATTTCCCAATCATAGGGTATATAAATGTAACACAGATGAATCAATAAAAGGAAATCCTGAAACTAGTTCTAGTGCTTTTTGAATTAGAGATTGGGAAGGTGAGTTAATTTTTGCAGAATATAAAATGATTAGAGATAGAACTATTTTGAAAGCAGAGGCTGAAGCTTTCCTAATGGCTTTACAATACTATATCAATAATTATTTGCTTCCTTTGATTTTGCAGACTGATTCGTTGACTTTTATCAGGATCCTCGATGGGATATGGGAAGTACCATGGGTCATTTCTCCTAGGATATTAAAGATTAAAATGCTAATAGAAAATCAGTTGATTAAGGTGAAACACACTCTTAGGGAAGGGAATTCCCTGGCGGATTATTTTGCTAACCTAGCCTTTTGTTTTGCAGGTATAATGTCAAAGCAATTTAATTCAAGTTTAGATGACATGGAAAAGAGCAGATCTCCTAACATTCGATTTAGAAAATGCCAAAACAGGAACTACAAATTGACGGACAACACAATAACAAACACAATTAGTCAAGGGACTGGATAGTATTGCAGCCATAAATGGCTAAAGATAGGGTTGACATATACAAAACAGTAGGGGTCTAAGAGACGAACCTCTAGATCTGGACCTTTAGCAATGGTATCAACCTTATTAGGGTTCAACCTGTTGAGGAAAAGATCAATTGGTAAGTTTTCGAAGCTCTGTTAACTGATTTAATTTAGTGTTAGAGAGATCTTACCGTGAAGTTAATCGAAAATGGAGATAAATGGAGCTGAAGAACTCTTCTTTGGTATCAATTTCATGACGTTCGTGAGGGCTTTGAGCGACTAAATAAAATTCGACCAAGATCCAACTTATATCTCCTTTCAATTGATGCTTTTGGGTTAAGAGATCTCAATAGCCAACAACTTGGATTGATTAGAGAAGAAGAAGATGGAATAAATTGAAGTATAATAAATTAGAAGAGTGGCTCTTCAATTTCCTGTTTTGTTTACTAGTTTTTTTGTTTTTGTTATTTTATTTGGGTCTTGATTTAGACCTCTTGTACGATTTTTGCTTAATAATAAATGGCTCATAGCCTTTTCGTTTTGTTTATTTTTAAAAAATAAATAAATATAATCAATTTAAATAAACAAATGTGAACCATCTAGTATATATATAGTAAAATAAAACAGACATATATGGCCCGTTTGGCCATAAATTTTGCAAGTAAAACTTGGAAAAAAACTTGACAAGTTTTGTTTGTTCATACACTTTTTTATTATTTGGCAAATTTTTAAAATTCCCAAATACTACAAAAAACTAGTATTTGGGCCAAATTTCATTATTTGGAAAGTTTTAGAAATTCAATTTTTACCCTTAACTTTTTTATTTTACAAAAATAATATATTTATTGACACCAACCAATAATTTTTTACGTGAACACCAAAGTAGTGATGGAATATTCAATGAATATGAAAATGATGATATGGTTGTTGATGAAAGTGACGAACTATTGGCTCAGGGTAACAACACGCTTCATCTTCTCGATCATCTGATTCTGAAATGAAAGCTCATCGAGAAGAGATTGTTCATAAAATGTGGGAAGATTATATTAAAGAATAGGTTGAACTCTTTCAGATGAAAAAGCATAGGTTCTTCAGTGATTGCAATATTTATTTCCTTTTGTTTTCTTCTCTTTTTTTCCCGAATTTATATTAGTTGTATTTTCATTATCATGATTAGTACCAAGACCTTTTCACTATACGAATATTCACTGTAATGATTCTTGTTGATTTGTTACGGAAGTCATAAATCTTGTTACGTGAGATTTCTATTGTGCTATGTAATACAAATTTATGGTTAGTTTGATAGTTTTAAAAACTTATGAGTATAAATCATATTTTTTAAAAAAATGAAATATATTCCTCAAATTCTATGGCCAAACACATGGTAAAATTTCACCTAAATTTTCATCCAAATAATATTTACCAAAAATATTTGAATATTCATGGCCAAACGCTAGCATAATAAAATTAACCCCAATCTAGAAAAGCTGGACCCCAATGTGTAATGTTGTAGAGATGCTCTAAATTAATGGAGATGATTAAATTAAATATCATTTGTAATGAAGAGTCTCCCATCTCTACTTTCCCCTCTCACAAAGCAATCAAAGTGGACACCTTTCTCCTCACTTCCTCAACGGTCGACACGTGTCCTCTTACAACCTCACGCTGTCCCAAATTATCTATAAATTTTTACAGTTCAATTTAATTCGAAATCTGGAGAGCTTTCCATTTGTTTATGGTGTGAAAGTGGGCCATCCCCCATTGTGTTAAAGATAGCTTGGCTACATCACTACTATTTATAACTCCATTTTCTCTTTCCAATCTAAATCACAAGCAGATCGTGATAGTACTATTCATTTTTTATATTGGTAAATTTGTGCTTTATTGGGAACTGGGATAGATGTAGATTTTGGCTATATTTATAATAGGATGCTTTTGGGTTTCTCATCAACTCTTGGCCTTTCATTCTCAATTCTCACTCGTATGTAAGTTCATTGCTCTCCGTTTCTTTTTTTTGAGTTAATTTGATCAAATTCTCTCCTAATACCGTTATCTGGTTATGCTGATAAAATCAGCCTTTAAAAATTCAACATGACATAACATAGGTGTGGAATTTGTACCGGATATGGTTCATCGATTTTGTGTATTTGATAGTGAAATGATTTTTGTGGAAAAAAAAAGAGAGAGAAATGTGTTTCCATATTTAAAAGATATTTGTATTTACAACTCTGCAACCAGAGGTTGTATTAGTGTTGATGAACAGTTTATCATCCAAAAAAGAATGGTACATTTGTATTTCTTTCCTTTCAAATAATGTAGGATATATTTCTATAAATGGGCATTTAAGCCGAATCTATTCCTTGATCTGTACGGGACTCCCGTATAATTTAGATCATGACAGACGAGTCCGAGTAACTTAGGATTGAACTGATGAGTGTTGAGGTTAACGAAATACTAGGACTCCGCGTGTTCTATTCTTCCCTCGCATACCTTGAATTCATTTCTGTCGTAATTTTAAATGAGGTCTCATCTGAATGTAGTATATCTATTGGAGAAATCATCAGCGCTCGCTGAGAAGTAATTGTGAAGTGTGTTATACTCATTACTTAATGTCAGCTTTGACTTGCATCAGTGTATTGATCTTTTCTTCTGCTGCTTGAATGAATACATGATCTGATTTGGTGCTTCTTTGCAGGTTTCGTCTCTACTTGATCATTGTATTTCATAAACAGAAAGATCTTGATTAACTTATCTTCTGATGCAACATGGACGACCCCTTTCTACATCTTGCAAGCTTGAGCTCTTATATAGCCCAGCAATTTGTTCAATTTATTGGTGAGGTCTCTAAAAAATTATGCACGTGCAAAGTATGAAGTTCTTGAACATCTATTCTTTTATATTCGCTGTCTATGGCTTCCCATTGATAAAGGTTTGATTCTATTGCAGAGGATCTTATCTGCAGAGATCTACTTGGGTGGTCAGAATATTTAGTTGATTTTGGTGGTCTGCTTGTAAACTTTACAACTGTTCCCGAGGCTTGTTCATTTCCTTCAAGAGTATCTGACACAGGAACAAGCTTTAGATTTCACGGGAGAAGATCCTCCTATGTCAATGATAACTTGCCTGTAAATTCATTCTTAGAAATTGTAAGAAGTAATCAAAGTTATGGAGGTTTCAGACTCATTTTTGAAGGGTAAACTTTTCATGTATATGCTTTTCCCATCATCCTTCGAGGTCGTTATGCAGATATCTATGGATTCCTCGATATTCAGAATCAGAATTAGAACTCTGAACATAAGAACTCAACTTATTTCAGTTTTATTTTCTAGTAGCACATATCTCTTTCCGCCATCACATAGTCATGACTGTCCTAATTTATTCTGCAGTTGGTTGATCTGGTTGTAGGTTGATGCTTCCAGTATATGGTCTGAGATTCACTTGGAAACTTACGTTGGCATCTTGGAGGTGTTTCGTATCTCATATCAGATGTGCTCTAGTTCAAGTTCAGAGGTTAGTAATCACTTCCTGACTGTCGGTAAATGATAAATATGTGAAGATCGGTGAGTATTTTAGATCATTTCTTACATTTGACATTCAACACCTTTACTTATAGTTTCCTACTACTTACTCTTCACTAATCTTTTCAGTGTTATATCCCGTGTACGTACAACTTTGCGTGGGTCTTCTGATGACATTGGGTGGTTGCAACAAGCTCCTGAAATGGCTCCTGTTGTTGATGGTTCAGCTAGATTTAGAGAACTACTACAAGGTATTAGGTAAGATGATGGATCTTACTAGTCACTTAGAAAATAGAAACAAAGCCAGATATCCTTGAATAATTATGTCTCCCAATATAAAGACCACATATCTTGTCAGCGGTGAGTTCTTGGTCATTTTTCTTTTTTATCAATTGAGATAGGTGCTGAATAACATGAAAATGAAAACAGACCAACTGCATACTATATTAAACTATCAATCATCATGGAAGGGTTCTGTGTTTAGCTGATGATATTCTTTTCCAGGCTGTTGCCATATTTCATGTTAATTTTGAGTTTTTGGTTTTACTGGCCGACCTTAAAACTCCAGGACTGATGACTTATTGCTCGGAATGTGTGTTTCCTTCTACTTCTTTTGGCTACTCTGTGTAGTGACGAAAGAAGTATCTTAACTACTTAAAGTGATGGTCGTGATATTAACTATGTTAGTAGGATACTCCTACCAATTTTGAATGAGATCCAACCAAGCAATATTATGTGCTTTTCATTTAAATGTTATAGATTGACAAAGTCTTTTTGAAATATGGAACACAGCAATATGAAAAGCTGTGTTTCAGCAGTATGAATCATTACCCTCTTACTTTGGCGTTTACTAACATAACTTGTCTGAATATGAATTTTGCAAATATGACAAGTCCTGAAACACCATTATTGTTTCAAATGTTAACAGAAAAACCAAAAGATCTTAATGTTGAGTTGTATTTACTCTATGCTCATCAGTTTTTGGTTTCCCTGAAGGATTCTTAGTAGCAACTACAAATGAAAGGAGGCACCAGGACATTTTATTCTGCATTTTCATTTTGGCATGTTAATATTGGGGGGGGGGGATGCTTTGCTTTTGTTTACTTCCGAGTTTCTAATATTGGAAAGATTCGTGTTTTAAACAATATAGCTGAGGATATATAAAAACCATTGTGTATATATTGTCCTACGATTAGATTCCTTAGCAAGTGGCTTTTGTTACTGAAGGATATGCAAAAATATATGAAGGTTATCTTCATTTCTCTCGACTGTTTTTGGTCAACATTCTTTTGTAGTCCTATGCCACAATACAACTGTGCTAACTCAACAGGATTATCTCTAGTTATCAATGATAGTTAGTCTGTCGCTGGTTGAGTCTTCACGTTAATTTTAATATTTCCTTGCAACTGCCTAACTGCTAATTAACGACAATTTTCGTTTGATTTTTTTCTTCCTTTTTTAGGAATGGACAGCACACACTGCCCGATTCTTTTGTTTATCTACTGATTCCAGGTTTAATAAATCTCCTGCTGAATACTACTTTGTTAAGATTTATTTTTAGTTAGTCCAGTCATTTTTAGCACATGCTTAGTTTAGGATGAATTTTAATTATTTTAAATTTTTGTTAAGGTTATTTAAGTAGTTCAGATATTTTAGCTCTTTTGAATTGCAGATTTTCTGCATAATATGTGTTCAAATTGACTATTTAAAACCCTCTTATGCTTAATAAAAATATTGAGAAACAATTTCCAATCATTTTAAATCTTTTTTGTTGCTCCATTTTTTTTTTTAGAAAAAACAACAATTGTATCAAGAGGCTCATTGATCTTGTGGAATCTATGAGTTCCTCGATAGAACTATTCTCAAAAATTATTTTCAACCCATTTTGAACTAGTGCTTATTATTAGTGCACATGGCTAGTTTCAATCCGTACTTATTTTAACGCGCAAGACTATTTCAACCAGTATCAATTTTTAATCCATTTTCAGCCATGACAAGCAACAGTATCTTTCAATGTCCCACAAGTT